GACCTGGTGTGGCTTGGGATCTCACTCTCTGTTCGGAACTCTGATTGACCTCGGCCAGAAGCGAATCCAGCCAATCAGGACACTTGGAGGAGGTGAGCAGTTTAAACAGCTCCTCCCCAGGGGTTCTCTAATTCGCTTGGGAGGAAAATGGGAGGGAGGAGTCGACAAATCTCCGCCCCAAAGACAGATATGAATACTGAGGTTTTTGAGTGTAAAAATGCTTTTTTGGTTTGGTGAGTGGCAGGTCCTGATAACTGTATCCGCATCGCATCACAAACCTGAAGTCCAATTTCTTTTTGGTTTGATGAGTGGTTTGATCCCGACGCATTTATCCGCATCGCATCACAAACCTGAAAGCCCGGAGTGCTCGAGTACTCTGTATAACTTGTATATGTGTTTGGTTTCCTACTAGAAGTAAACTCAGATAATTTGTTATAACTTTGATTCCGGTGTTTTCAATTCCTTTCTTAATTTAATAGAGATCCAGCCTCATCCAACGAACGGCGCGGAGAGGGGGGCTATTCAGCCACCAGAAAAGTGTTCTGCTCCAACAACGCAAAGAGCTTTCAACTGATTGCAATGTATTCCCATCGGCGGCGGTATTTGACGCTCATGGAAGCACCGCATCGGTCCATGTCGACGGCCCTTAAAGGCAATGTGAGCGTCCATTCCCATTGGATAACGGAGAATTGTACACCCGGAAGTCACTATTCTCCTTACTGTCGATTGATTTTACAGTGATATCTGCACTACTCATCAACTCAAAAACACCAGATTATCATTGTTAATTACACAACATTGATTGGTTTAAATTGTGTGCAATGCTTTTGTATTTTTCCCCTTCGATTCGGAGAAACAAATATTTTTTCGGAGTTTAGGATGGCAGAAGACACTACACTACCCAGAATCCTCAGCTATCATTTAGGACTACAGCATGTGCTTTGTTTGACAAACCCCTGACTAGTCCTCAAGCTCTGTGATTGGTTGACCTCCAAATGCATTCCATATAAAAAAACGTTTCGTAAAAGATAAAATCATACTTTATTCAGCAGTGCTTGCTTTACTCTTTGAAAGTCATCACATGAATGCATTGTAATAAATGGTTTGGTTGCATTAAATATTACACATCTGTCGTAGTTCTTTATTTATCTAGAGATCATTATATATTATTATATATATATATTTTATTTAGTTAACACTGTAAACTTGACAGCTTTTTAACCCAAACCACCTACTGGTTAAAGCACGTTATTACACGTTTAGAGTAATTGCAATGCAGGTAGATTGTGTTGCTTTTTAATGACTGTTTAAAATGCCTTTTTCTTAATGTCTTTCATTTTTGTAAAGCACTTTTGAATGTGTTATATTTTATGAAAACATTTAAATATTAAGAGTATACAAAATAGGAGGAAAGTAGAAGGTCAATGATAGAAATATAGAATAGAAAATATCTAGAAGATACTGTAAATGGTATGTAGAATAAAACAGTTTAGTGCCGCATGTACAAAGATATTAATAGGAGGATGTGCAAAACAGACAAACTAATTAGGCTTTATTTAAACATTAAATAATACTTTAGGTTATGGTCTTCTTTTAAATACATGTACTGTAAGCAAAAAGCTTTGGGGGTATCTATATTAAGCCTGACAAAGTACTTAACGTTTAATATATTGCATGGTTTGTTTTGGGACTTGACAATCAACTTTCCTGCAATGTTAACTATGTTGAAGCACTTATTTTAACCGATATTATACATATTTATTATACTCTTATAAGATGTATGTAGATAGAATAAGAAATGTGCAGATTATGACAGTTTAATGGTGGAGGTACACACATATTGATAGATCTCTTGTTGAGGAACCTGTGACCCAAGTTTGTCATCATTGCATAACTACACCGTAGTTGTGTATATGATATTTCAATAAACCTTTGAAAATCTTGAAATCTTGAAAGGGATGTGCAAAATAGCTATTATATACAGTTTTTGAGGGGGGGGGGGGGGGGGGGGGGGGGTAGGACACGTTCGAGTCTTGATTTGGATAGTGTGCCGTCGATGGGTTTCATTCCATTTCAAAGTGCTGCTTGACGCGATGTAAACTTTGCGCACTGCCACTCCAACATCCACTCACAGAGCTTGAGAACTAATCACCGGGTTTGTCAAACAAAGCACATGCTGTAGTCCTAAATGATAGCTGAGGATTCTGGGTAGTGTAGTGTCTTCTGCCATCCTAAACTCCGAAAAAATATTTGTTTCTCCGAATCGAAGGGGAAAAATACAAAAGCATTGCACACAATTTAAACCAATCAATGTTGTGTAATTAACAAGGATAATCTGGTGTTTTTGAGTTGATGAGTAGTGCAGATATCACTTTAAAATCAATCAACAGTAAGGAGAATAGTTACTTCCGGGTGTACAATTCTCCGTTATCCAATGGGAATGGACGCTCACATTGCCTTTAAGGGCCGCCGACATGGACCGATGCGGTGCTTCCATGAGCGTCAAATACCGCCGCCGATGGGAATACATTGCAATCAGTTGAAAGCTCTTTGCGTCCGTTTATGAAGCTGAAGGAGCCTCGGCGCGTCCCAACTGCACGCCACGGGACCCTGACCAAGCGTCGCTCCTGGACGTTTAGGGAGTGAGAGTGTGTTGACACAATCCGTAACGGAGGCCGAGATCTATGGCCCCAGAGATCACCTCCGTTACAGAGGCAAAAAGTATATTGATCTCCCTGCCGCTCGCAAAAAAATCCACTTGAATGCACCTTTCACAAGAATGGATTCAGGGAAAAGTCAGCAGTGATCAACAGAATAACCTGCGGAAAAAGATTTATAAGCACCATAAGAGCCAGGCACACAAAAAAGCGATCGAGATTTCGGAGATGAAAAAAAAGATGTCCTTCCAAACAAGGTAGGCCTATTGGCAATCAATGTTGATCGCATGCAGGAAACATATACATCTTTCAGGTCTACCTATATGATTGCCAAAAAAATAAATAAATAGGGCTCCCCCGAAAGCAAATGGGTAATTCGAACACTGACTATAGCTTTCTGAAAATGTACATTTTATATTATTTATGGAGGCTTGCTGACAGGGTGGACAATGACAGGGTGGACATTTTTGGCTAATGAGCATGGTGGACCTTCAGTTAGCAACATCATTCAGTTAGCAAGGTGACTGTGTACTGTTTAACAAATATATTTTGAATTTCTGAAAGGTTTTTATATTAATTGACATTTCACTATGACAGAGTGGACATGTTAAGCTTGACAACATCCAACTACACACATAATATGATTACAATTTCAAAATATAAGTTAAAAAACGTACTTTGCAACTAGCCAATGTCTCTCCATTGAGGAAAGACAAAATGGTGGTAGTAATGTCACTGAAAACATCAGAGGGTTGGTTTATGGGGCAGTTACCCCTTAATGACAGGGTGGACAGCAAATGTCAGGGACACATGCAAAATGTTCAATATTATTATGAAAATAGAATATACATGATCAAAATGACTCGTTTTTATCAAATAACTTGTTTAATTCTTTTTTAAATGTAGTATGATTTAACCACTTATTACACACACTGTAGTTAGCAGAGCAATGTTTGGGACATGCCAAAATCAGGTACATCCAATAAAGTGAAGGAAACACATTTCAAGAGACTTATCATTGTATTGATATGTGTGTAAATGTTTGGCCTTTTATAATAAGACCTCAGAGTTTCATTATTCTGCTACATTTTCATGATAACTGAGTGATTCTGATGGGGACACCAAAGTTACTATCGTGATATTGACCCCTAAATAACATTTCTTTATTAGAATCATGAAAATGTACTCAAAGTATACAAATTAAAAGTGGCTTCTTGAATCTTTTAGTTTTTATATAATTTGAAGAACCAGCACCTTATCGTGGTGGAGAGGTTTGTGTGCCCCGATGAACCTGGGGGGCAGGGGCGGACTGGCCATCTGTGTGTTCTGGAGAATAACAGAATGGCCGGTCGCCAGCGGGCCGTTGACGGCCGGCTCGGTTCGCTGACGGCCGGTGCCGCCCTTTATTTTAATTTTTTTAAACGGCATCATGTAAGTTGCGCTGACAGGCGACAGAGGTCCACAGTTACCCCGCAGCGAGGCTCCCCCCGCCCTCCTGTTGACAGTTCACGAGCGCCAAGCTCTCTTCAATGCGAACCACATAAAACCAACATCAGCCGTTAGCTGTTAGCACTCAGACTGTCTGTGTCATGGCGAATACAGTCGCTGGTTTATTTATGTCTGTAGGCCGTTGTTGTGAGTGTGGACGGTCGGAGCATATACTGCGTTAGCTTAGCCGATCTCCATTCAGAAAACACGCATTTTAAAAGGTTTTTCGCCTGCCGTCTGTCTGCAGACTTGTCAAAGCATTAATTCATGGTTTTTACTCACCGGTATCAGTATGTTGTTACTTCGGCATCATTTTGAAACGTGTATTGCAATTTATGATATCACTGACACAAGGGGGGGATCTGACATTATTATACATAATTACATTTGACTCAAGTGTTTCGTCAACTTAATGTTTAAAATAACACTTCGGCATCCAGTATGTGACAATGTACGTGTTGCACGACCAGATACGGCTCGAGAAGCTGACTCAGATAAATGAGGCGAGTAAACACAGCTGACAGCCGCCGTGAAACTCGAGCGATTATTCGAGCCACAGGAAATGCACGCAGATACAATATTTTATATTATTATTATTAGGCCTATTAGAAACCGTCAGGGGAGTCTCAAAAAACCCACACACGAATGCACAGCTTCGAGCGATCCATGCACAGAAAGCGGGTTGTGTTTGCAGGTGCAGCGGTTTTAAACGGAAAACAAATGTGTGGATCAAAAATACATATGTAAAACTGTTTTCTGTGTAAAACTTGTATTTACATGTATATGAAGCGGAACACATGCGACACAACCCTCTGAACAACACAACCCTCTGATGCGTTTGTGGGTAGCTTGGCACGCTACTTCCCTGGAACCGTTGCTGCTTCCAGTGTTTCCTCCTGAAGTCTTTGATCACTACCCAGTCACCGGGCTTGAAGTGGTGTTGTGGCGCATCAGCTGGCGTCGGCAGTACGGCTTTCAGAGTGGATAGCTGAGAGGGAGACTGAAAGACTTATACAGTAGTTCAACAAAAGGTAACTTAAATTGTCTCAACTTTCAGAAACATTACATTAACAGAATAATATTATTTAAATCTGTGCCAGTTCGTCTTGTGCCTTGTGCCATCAAGAGAGCCAGCTTTTCACGCCGACAAATATTTGTAGCTGCTTTCACAATGATGCTATTCTCTTTTTATTAACCAGTAAAATAGATCTTTACAGGATCAGAATATTATGAATATTATTAATCTTTATGGCTTTGTAAGATTATATGTCTCTATTTAACACAATGGACATGCTTATCACACTTGTTTCAGTCTTAAATCTGTATTGTCAATGTGCTTTGGCAATAGTATATGTTTTAATATGGTCATATCAATAAAGTTAGTATTTCCTGATATTCTTCTTTTTTTTGTTGATATAAAATGATGTGTGACTTCTTCAAATGATGTGTGATTTCCTCAAAAAGATAAAGCATTTAAAAATTCCAACCAGCAACCACACTTTCCTCGGTCACATACTTCAGGATACTTGCTGCAGAGCTGACCTTCTAGGAAAGAGTTGGCATTCCCATGAGCAATGGAGGAAATCTATGCCAATATTGACGATGTCCAAACCCTAAGCTCAAAATCATCAACAATACAAGAAGGTAAGAGTGTCAGTCAGAGTGCACTGTGGATTTGGATGTACTGTATTACTCCCTGGTTTTCTCTGTGTTCAGGTCCCAGGAGACTTCTCAGAGCGTCTGTTCTCGGTCTGGGGCTGCTGAGTGTTTTGCTGCTGGCTGGACTCATTGGCCTCGCTGTCCACCGTGAGTCTTCCTTTGAATACGTTTAATCATTTATCAAGTAACTGAACGTATAGTAGAATGTGTGGAGTCATTAAAACCCTTGAAAAGACGCAGAGGGAGGGAAGTTATCTTTTATCACATGCATCAATACAAGCAGTTGTTTGCAACTACAGGCCTCCTCCTATTTCTATTATTCTTTATTTTCTCTTTGGGCAAAATCAGGAAATATTTTGTTTTGTCTCTTGATTTCAGACCACGACGTGACTGAAGAGAGAGACCGACTGAAGGCCAGCCTCACCGGTGAGGTGTACAGGCTTCAGCGTTTGATGAACAAGAGTGAGTGGTATCATATGGGGGGTTTTGCATAGTGTTTTGCATAGTGTGTGTCTGACTATTGATGCTTTCATAAAATAGTTACACAATGACACTTTTCATTAATGATAATCAAGAATTCGTTTTTAAAGACTTAGTTGTGAGGGATTTAATTTATAGTTTGTTTTATTTTTCTTCCCCCACCGTCATGCCCCATACACTTGTGTAGGCCACCATATTTATATTTCTCTGTAAACTATGCTTATGGCCAGTTTCCTTGTCTAAATTACTTTTAATATAAGCAATAGGAAGAATAACTTAGTGGTAGTTTGTTCCAGATATTTGCAGCATAATAATAATATTAATAATAATAATAATAATAATAATAATTATTATTATTATTATTATTATTATTATTATTATTATTATTATTATTATGATTATTAGTATTATTATTATTATTATTATTATTTCCAGTCGGTCTAGTAACTAACATTGAGATTTTGCCACTGTCTGTGTTTAAGTTGATGTCATTGAAGACTTTAACAAGATCAGTCTCAGTGCTGTGGTGCCTGACTAGATCACATCGAAACAGTTATTTAAATCCCAAAAAAAGAGAAGTAGTCGTCTCTTTTGATCCCTCTAAAAATGCTTAATAAATACATTTTCATTATTATTACAAAAGTGACATATAATGCACTCAAGAGTTCCATATTTCAGCTGTTAAAGCAGTAAATCAAAAAGATCTTACAACTTTTACAGCCAAAACGTGTCCTGAAGGATGGAGTAAGTTTGGTTGTTCCTGTTATCTCCTCTCTACTGAGAAAGCTTCTTGGGAACAAATCAGAGACTGCACAGCCAGCGGAGCGGATCTGGGGATCGTAGACAGTTTTGAAGAACAGGTATTGTGTGCTGCTTTAACACTTGTGATTGTATAACCCCCTGCTTTTATCAATCAATAATGTTTGTATTGTACATATACTAGCAAATGTGTCTATCAGCTATAATGATTACGTCACAACAATGGTGTTAATTACATATTTCTGAGCTCGTAAAAAGGGAAAGGTTATCTGAATGTTGATGTCCATCCCAGTAAACTGCATTTTTAATTTGTGAACAGGAATTCTTCACTAACACGACCAAGGAAATCACTTGGATTGGAAACGTGGAAATGGGTGGATGGATCTCCACTGAATCTGATGTAAGGCTTTACTTTGGTTTTAATGACAGACGCTGGTTTATGTTGTGACCTTTCTAAATGTTTCACATGTTTCTGTAATAGTAGTTAACACAACACAGGATGCATTTAAACGTAGGGTGTCTGCCCCTTTCACCAGAAGATTAATTTGGGTATTAAGAAAAGAACATGGCTGTATTACTTATAGTTATTTGTATTTGATGTCTAATCTTTTAGGTCATCTTGTTTTTGTAAGGAATGCGTGGAAGGGTAGGACCCAAATGCAGACTATCAGAAAAGGTAAACGGTCTTGAAACAAAAACGAGCTTTATTCTCAAAGCTTAACAATAGCATGGCATGAAACACATAGGTTCTACAGAAAACTGACCGTGACCAACATGGTGGGAGACAGGAGAAACAAACATGACTGACATGGAGGAAGACAGGAAAAACCAACATGACTGACATGGTGGGAGACAGGAGAAACAAACAATGAACCGACAGGGGAACACAGGAAGAGACAAGACTAAATACAGAGAGGGGTAATCACAAGACGAGACACAGCTGGGGTAAGGGAGGCAGAAACACAAGGGCAACAGGTGAACACAATCAAACAATCAGACACACCAGGGAAACTAAGACAGGAAGGCAAACACAGGAAGAAGGAACAGAGAAGACACGAGGAAAACATTTCAAAACAAAACAGGAAACCAGAAAAAGACAAGACAAAACACAACACAGACAGATCGTGACAGTTTTCCTGTGATGCCTGATAATGGAGGAGGGGATCCACAGTGGGGTGAAGAGGACTGTGCACACATCTCTAATGGGTGGAACGACCAGTCCTGTAGGGACAATAGCCGCGTTCACACCAAGTACTTTCCTGTACTTAGTTCCGGCACTAAGAGCCCTGGCGCTTTTAACCCCAGGGCACTTAGTACAGATCGCGTTCACACCGGAGTACTTTTCCCTGAGGGAAGATTACAAGTACAGTAGGTGGCGGTAAGCACCTTAAAGTTGTTTGCAATCCGCTACAAAACAAGAGAAGAAGAAGAAGAAAAACGTCCCGCGTATACTGTCTGTTGTTTACCTTCCGACCTCAGACATGATGGAGATGGAGTCGACTGAAGTTGTGCTGTTTGTGCTCATGTTATACAGCTTTGTAACTTCATTAATGCGGCCAGAGCCTGAGCCTATTAGGCGTCCGACAAAAATCCGGAGCCGCCACACGTCGAATGCTATAATCGCAAAGTTTCTTCAGCATCAAAGGCAGTTCAAAAGCTTTAGGAAAAGGATTGGCCGACGGAAAGCACACATGATTGCCATGTTTCACCGTAGGATGGCTGATACAGGATCTGTTTAATCGCCATGTCGGTTTTCTTTATTGCACTCTCAAGACATAACATTAAATAGAAATATTTTAAATGTAACTAAAGTGTCAGTTGTACATGTCAGTAAACATTGTCAATATAAAATAAAGTGTCAGTTGTACTATATAATAACAGTAATAATAATATAAAATAAACTGTCCCAACTGTAGGGAGTCTCAGCAGCAAACCCACCTTTATTATATATCTTCCTGAGACCCACTGCATCCGTCTGCCATAAACACTATGCAAACATACATGTTAGTTTTGGCCCATAGTGGACTCCATGTTGTGTTGTGTGAAATGGGGGGGAATTAAAAGTTTAGGTCAAATAATATTTAAAATTATATAAATTGTCATATTTGTGTATGTGCCGCTGCCATTCCTCCACAAGGTTGCAACATTGATGATAAATAAATGACAAATAAAGCTTCGCCAGTTTATAACCGATGAAACATGATGGTATCAGAATAATCACTTACATGTGATGTATAGGATGCTACACAGGTCACAAAAGATAAAGTGTCAGGAGAAATAAGCTTAATCGCCATGTCGGTTTTCTTTATTGCACTCTCAAGACATAACATTAAATAGAACAATTTTAAATGTAAATAAAGTGTCAGTTGTACATGTCAGTAAACATTATATATAAAATAAAGTCATAACAGTAATAACAATATAAAATAAACTGTCCCAGGTGTAGGGATATTCTCAGCAGCATACTTAGTGCAAAGTTGTGTGTCGTGTGTCAGTATTTACAAAAACTATACCAAATAAACTGTTATTAAATGCAGTTTGTCGCTCATCCTGCCGCTGCGCCGACGCTTCCTCATGGCGCAGCGCCCACACTTCATCCTGGTGCTGCTGGCGCTCCATCTGCTGCTTGAACACTTCTGCCTGGCGCTCCATCGAGGTGAGCATCTTGTCCTCCGTTTCCTGGGCATTGGTGAACAGCACCATCTGATCTCCACGCAGCGACTCATTCACCACGGCACGCCGGTCCTCCAACGCCTGGGCGGTGTCAAAGAAATTCGCATCCCGTGTCCGCTTTCCTAAGAGGGGAAAATAAGCAAGATACAAGATCTGTTTAGTCGCCATGTAGTTTTACAACATACTGGGAATGTGTTTTTTGTATTTTCACAAATATAATTAAGGTTTCACAAATCTGAAACTGTGTTATAAAGAATCTTTTGACTCTCTGGGATAATCCAGTCCAGATTTGATGAGTCTAGGTATAGTGGTTTTAGATCAGGACCTGGTCTAATGTGGTCTAATGTGGTCTACATGTAAAAAAAGCACTGAAATCTCCCTTTTTTGTATTTTCACAAATAGAATTAAGGTTTCACAAATCTGAAACTGTGTTATAAAGAATGTTTGGCCTCTCTGGGATAATCCAGTCCAAATAAATCGGCTATGCAGCGATTCAAGAGGTTCAAACACGGAGGATTGTTCCTTTTTGAAGAGTGCTTCATGTATGCTTGAACTTTGTTTAATGTTGTTGAGGCAAGTTAAACATAAAATATGATGAATATTATGAAATAAACATGATTGTGAACATCAGTTCGATGCGTAACGTTCTTTCAAGACAAAGTTACAGTGTGTCTACCTTTGTGTTTGGTTGCTGGTAAGGAGGACGAGCTAGCGCTGTGATCTAGAATGCAAAGCTCGCTTGTTTCCAATCCCGAGAGTTGTCCATCCTCGCCTGAAACACACGATTAGTGCCATGAGTTAGTGAAGCAAATTACAGAAACACTGCACAGTTATTCACAAGTCAAAACGTTTTCAGAGCGGCCGAGAATATCTAGCTAGCTAGATGTAGCTAGCTCGGAGCCTAGCATGGCTAGCTTGATCTACTGAGCAAATAAAAGTACATCTGAGACCATTATTGTGCAGATTAAAACCCCAGTGCATGTAGTTGATTTTACCTTCGTCGTGGTAGTCATCGTTGGCCACTGAATCCGCCGTTTGTAGTCCTGCCTGAGTTTCTTTATTTTTAGCCGGTGGGGCTGTGCACAATTCCCAGGTCGAGTGAAAGCTACCGAACTGGCTTCAGTAGCATTCCCTGGGTCGCCTCCTCGGCGTAGATCTCCAGAAGCGCCGACACCTCCTCATCATTTCTTGATGCTTGCCATAACTGCTTTCAAAAACAAACACAACGCACGGAGCGTTGTGTTTTTGTAGCGAGGAAAAACAATGGCGTCTCCACACAACATTTTCAGAGTTGTACGGGCGTGGTTTGCAATTCGCCCAGCCAATCAGCACTGGGGCACTTTTGGAGCACTTTTCACCCACAGAAAAGTACGCTCTCTGGGCTGGCTCTAAAAATGGGGGTAAAAGTACCCGAGATTAAGTACGATTTTTGGTGTGAACGCGACATAAGGGGTACTCACGGAACTAAAACGCGAAAAGTACGGTGAAAGTACTCCGGTGTGAACGCGGCTAATGTGCATTGGGTCTGTGAGAAAGAAGCTTAACATTGGTGTCTGTTTGGATACTACACATGCAATCATGCTTTTACAATTTAGTTGAAATCGAGTTATTTAAAACTATACAAAATGCCTGATTTCACGAATAGGAATGACTTTGCTCGAATTGATAAATCACATTTATTTAGTGTTTTTGTTTAGGATTAATATCAGTAATAAATAAATAGTCATTTAATTAGTTTTTGCCAACTTTTGTTTGCCTCAATTAAATTAGTATTTGTATTAATCCTTTTCAAATCTTATGTAACGTTCTTATGAACTGGAAAGTCAGAAAGCCCAACTGCTTCAATTTCAATAGATGGCTGGAGGACTTCCTAAACATCTTAAGTATGGAAGAAGCTGCTTTCTCCCTGTTATATTTGGTTAAGCCAGACAACAGGCTTTGGGATAAGATAAGGGCTTTCCTGGACTCAAACCATCTCGGCTGCCAATAATAAATATAATAATATTAATAAATGAATATAAATAAACAGAAATAAGCCATGCAGAAACAGAAAAATAATGGTAATAATAATGAAAGAAGAGCAATTCAATGGGAAATGTATTTATTTGACTATTTATCTATTTATTTATCTATTATACATTTTGTGTTTTATAATAATAGCGAGGAAACAATGAAGTATATCTTTATGAAGCAAATATGCATACATAACATGTAACTGACTATGTAATCCCCCCACCCCCCCACCCTTCATGTTATTGTCCTGTGATGTGTGTGAGCCGTGTCCTTGTCCTTATGTTTTTGTCTTTGAAAATGTCTAATAAAATATAAATGTTAAAGGTGGGGTAGGTAAGTTTGAGAAACCGGCTCGAGATACACTTGTTGTTATATTCCATGGAATGCTCTTAACATCCCGATAGCAATGAATATCTTAAGTGCTTTGACAAAAAATCCATATAAAAATGTCATCTGTGGAAGCCGTAATACTGTAAAAGGTACGACCAATCATTTTAGCCGGGCCGGCTAAAATAACTGGATGGCCTACCTGCCTGTCAGCCTTCCATCTGTGCACAAACTTATCTCGTGCCCTCATTGGTCATGTGCGCGTTCGTGTGTGTTGGAGGAGGGGCTCTGTGAGGAAGTGGCAGATTTTCTCCGGCTGTGTATTTTCAAATTCTAGCGATCTCGAGCCGGTTTCTCAAACTTACCTACCCCACCTTTAAATCCTTTTACATAATAAATAAATTGTCATTTAATTTGTTTTTGCCTACTTTTGTTTGCCTCAATTAAATTAGTATTTGTATTAATCCTTTTACACATCGACATAAAAACAGCTTATTAAAAACATCTGCTGATAAGCCCACAGTTCCTGAAAGTTATAATATTGAAGGTGCCTTATTGAGCAGAATATGATAACAATAAGAAAAACTGTCAAACATTATTGAATAATTCAGACATATACAACAATACTCTAGTCTCAGCATCGGTCTAACTTGTTCAAACATGTAAAATAGCCTGTGTGTTATACAGTATGTTTCCTAACAATGAGCTCTTGTGGCCATGTGAGTACAAATCTGTTGCAGGTATTTAACATTCATAGGTACCAGCCACTTTGTACATACTGTAAGAACTAGTGCTGTCAATTAATACAAAAATGTATGTAGAAGAAGAATTGGGAGGGATGAAACCCTCTTTAATGGTCACACATGCAGAGCACACAGCACACAGTGAAATGTGTTCTCTGCTTTTAACCCATCCTAGTACCAGGACAGTGTGTGCGTAGATGCAGCGGACAGACAGGTCTCAGTTGGTTTGGTGTCCTCTGCTTACTTTTAATACTTGTAAATAAAACTTTTGGCCCGTCATTTATTTTCCTCATTGTTGCGACCAGAGGAGGGGGGGGGATATATCCAGTCTCTGATAGTATTACGTTATTATGAGAGTGCTCTCATACTTGTTTGATTCTGAAATTGTATATATATAAAATATATACATGTGTGTGTGTGTGTGTGTGTGTGTGTGTGTGTGTGTGTGTGTGTGTGTGTGTGTGTGTGTGTGTGTGTCCGCATCTGTAGCCTGTTATTGTCTCATTATACCGCACTGTGAATGAATTAAAAGTAAATATATAATTCATCATGAACACATCTGTCCATCAGACAGAGTGCTGCTGTGCCTCCTGTCATCATTAATGGACGTCTCTTTAAAATGACCGCTCAGAGGAGAGGAGTCCCCTCCTCCGCTCCTCCGCTCGCATCTCCTGTGGGCGGGACTAAGACAAGAGGATAGGAGTCGAGGAGGGGAAATCCCAGAAATGAGATACGGCCTAGTACCAGGAGTCTAGTACTAGGAGCAGTGGGCAGCTATTGTACAGCACCCGGGGAGCAATGGGAGTGAGGGGGGGAAGGGGGATGTCCGGTGCCTTGCTCAAGGGCACCACGGCAGGGCAGGAGGTGAACTGGGACCTCTCCAAGTAGCAGTCCACACTCCATATTTAGGTCTGGTCAGGGACTTGAACCGGCAACCCTACGGCTCACAGTCCAAGCCCCTACTGACTGAGCCACTGCCGGACATGTATGTTTATCACAATAATATTCTGGGACTTTAACTGCAGGATTTGCTCATGTTTCATTTAAAAAGTAAAGTAAACTGTCTTTTATTTGAAGTGAATTACAGTACTTTAACACAATGGACATGATTATCACACTTGTTTCAGTCTTAAATCTGTATTGTCAATGTGCTTTGGCAATAGTATGTTTTAAATATGGGCATGTCAATAAAGCTTATTTGAATTTGAGTTGTTACGACACAGAAAACACCAGAATTTAAACTATGAACATTAATATAATTTCACTAATAGTTAATGGCCTAAGCAACCCAACCCCCAAGATCAGCAATACAAGAAGGTAAGTGTTCAGTCAGACGGAGTTAGCTGTGGATTGTGGATTTATTATGTTCAGATTTCCCGAGCGTCTGTTCTCGGTTTTGGGCTGCTGAGTGTTTTCCCGCTGGTTGTTCTCATCGGACTCACAGTCTACTGTTAGTCTGTTTTATAAGTTAATGTCATTTTGAATTTGTAATTTTGGAGACTGAGCGTCTCCAGGCCAGCGATCAGCAGCTGTCCTCCATGACTGAAGAGAGAGACAGACTGAAGGCCAACCTCACCGAAAAGACCAGAGAGGTGTACAGGCTTCAGAGTTTGTCCAAACAGAGTGAGTGCTTTTCTATTTTCTATGTGTTTTACTCTATGTTTTTATGTTTAGATGCTGTTGTTGAATTCTCTTGCTCACTGTGTATTTTTAGGTTACAGCACTTTGTAACTATGTTTTGAAAGGTGCTATATAAATAAAGTGTATTATTATTATTTATATGGTGATCTACAAGATACATTTCCCAGGAATGTTTTTTTTATCATCCTTTTTTTATGTCATGTCAGTCAAAATGACCGCCTTTATTGCAGTATTTTTTAATTTCCTTTATTAAGCAATTGGACTTATAGTACCGTGTAAGGAATCATAACAGACTCTAAAAATGATGCAGAGTGAGAGAAGTTTTACCCTTTGTCCCATGCAATAATACCGATCTATCAGAATAGATCTTGGCTTCCATCAACAATAGGCGCTTTCACACCGGAGTACTTTTCCCCGTACTTTTCCCTTTTAGTTCCGATAGTTCCTGGGATTTTGCGTTCACACCAAAAAGAGAACTTAGTTCATGATAACTTTTCCCCCTTCTTAGTCCCTGCTAGAGAGGTGGTACTTTCCTGGGGAGAAAAACATTTCAATTTCTGATTGGCTGGGCGAATTGCAAACCACGCCCCGTAAAACTCTGAATAGTTTTTGTGAAGCCGCCATTTTATTTCCTCGCATTAGCATTATTAGCATTAGCATTAGCCCAGTGCACCAACGGAGAGAGACTAACTTATGGCAACACAAAAAATAACATGGGAGCGGTGGAGTGATGGGGAGGTGTCGGCGTTCTGGCGATTTACTCGGAAGGCTTCAGTAGAAGCTGCTGGGAGTCCCAGCAGCTTCTACTGAAGCCAGTCCCCAATTCCGGGGACTTCCGGCCGGGGACTTCGGGCGGCAGTATACGCCGTGAAGTTGTTTGCGGCCTGCCAGTAAACCCAAAGCAGAAGAAGAATAAGTGAAGTCAGCGGCTTCATTTGCCAAATCCTCCCTCAGGGATTTATTCCGGTGTGAACGCGATCTGCTCTTTAGTTCCATGAACTAAATAAGGCATGTCTTGTCTTTTTTTGCAGAGAAAACGTGTCCTGCAGGATGGAGGATGGTCGGTTGTGTCTGTTATCTCCTATTTACTGAGAAAGCTTCTTGGGAACAAAGCAGACAAAACTGCAGAGCCAGAGGAGCAGATCTGGTGATCATAGACAGTAATGAAGAACAGGTAATGTGTGCTGCTTTATCAATTTATTGTTTTACTTATCTGAATCAGAATCAAAATATAAAGGTTGTTGAATTGAATAGGTGCCAATGTACATATTAAATAATAAAAATGAACCAAACTTTGATTTCATATTTTTATATGGTGGTTTTATCATATCATTTAGCTTATTTATTACTTATCTACTTCACAGTTGTGTGTTATCGTTACTGGCTTTTATGCACAATGAGTTATTTTACTGTTGGTACTTCAAGTTTATTTTGAGTACAAATGTTCCCAAAGATGACCACACCCCTTTGTACTACACTGCGTTCAATTGTGTTTTTATTGCATGCTTTTATGTGTATCTTTCATACGTATCATTTAGATTAGATTACAAAAATTAAATGTATGATTTGTGTCTGAGTTAGTTAGAAGGGAATAGTTATCTGAATGTCGATGTTCATCCCTGTAAACTTCATTTATAATATGTTTAAGATATCAGGACCTTTTATATTAATATTTTTCTTTTACAGAATTTCATTACCAGCATGATCAAGGAACCAACTTGGATTGGGTTGAATGACATAGACCAAGAGGGGACCTGGAGATGGGTCGATGGATCTCTACTGACTCAGAAGTAAGGCATAGTTGATATTCTAGGTGCCTGCATACTATAGCTGTATAGGCTTTTTTGTATGACTGTCTAAACGTAATTATTAATTGTTAATACTTTTCGGAATTTACGGAACCCAAGTCTAGAAACTGCTGATCATAACCATTCAACGTTTTTGTTGTATTTAAGAGAATAATGAAAGGGGTGTCTTAATAAAAATGAGATGTGGTGAGGCGGCTTCTTTTTTTTCTTGAATCAGCAATTTGCCCCAAAATAGAGGAAAGCAGGCAGTGAAAGTATCAGAAGCAGAGGTCGCGTTAACCGAATATTTTCCGGAATGACGGAAAACTCTGAAAGCAGTCTGTCATTTTGACGGATTAGAACAAACTCAGAACAGCGCCAAAGTTTCCTCGCAGCAGGGCTCCGGTGTTATGCCGTGTTATGGATGCCCGCCAGAAGGAAATGATGATCCAAACCTAACTCTGCCGTACAGATCATTGAAATGTCTGTGAGTGTATGCTTTACGCTATGGCGCGCTACCGTGAGGTGCAGTGGGCATGCATAACACGGCGCTAACAGTTCACGAGCGTGCGCCCCCCCCAGTTGACAGTTCAAGAGCGTGCTCTTCCCCCCCGTCAAAGTTGTGTACAGACCGACGGGTAATAATGGATTTTGACGGAAATGTTACGATTTTTTTACGATTTTGTCCGTCAAATTGACGGGCAGCGAAAAAGTCTATATTTTATTATATAAACTGTAGCATATCCCTCGGAAAAATGGTCGTACACTTAACTGATGATTTCAAATGCATTGAAAACTCCAAAAACCAACGTAAGAGCTACACAAAGACTCAAAACAACAAATACATTTAAGCTACATCCATATGAGCATTACTTTAGAATACCATTAAACAAGTGAACTTCAAATAGTTAGCGAAGTTATAATACATTATATAAACAAATTAAGACACACACCACATTTTACATTACAGTCACACTAACACTAACCATGTGCCTCTTCAGGGGGTGCTAATACTTAAAGGGGACCTATCATGCAAAATGCACTTTTGTACGTCTTTGATAAATGAATATGTGTCAGGGAACTCACCAAGTGTCAGAAAACACAACCCTCTCTCTTTTCCTCCATACCCAAATCTCTAAAAACGGGGCTGCAACAGATCTGATACAGACTGATACAGATTTGAAAATCGGGGTGCTCCGCCTATATGGGCAACTCTGCACCTATCAGGGAAATGAGAGGTTGCGTGGCATGGTAACAGCATGGTAACATGACGCTCGTGCCTCGCCCCCCTCCTTTGCAGGGGGGCGTGGTCAGCTGCAGCTCATTTGCCACAGAATCAGCCCTTGTGAAGACAGGGCTGGAATAGAGCAAATAGAGCGAAATGAGGCATGGCTAAAATGCATGATCTGTTTGGTATTTTGAAAAAAAAACTTCACAGACATGTTTTATATAGGTATGGCCCTACAATATATTATTCAAATATAGCATGATGGGTCCACTTTAAATGTAAACTTTATCTTTTGATATCGCCGTTACTATCTGTACTTTATCTCCGTTCTTTTTCTCCGTCAAGTTTTTACTTTGGGAACAGTAACTTCTTGCTAATAGCGCAAAGTCACCTTCAAAATAAAAGCATGTCTATATAAAACAGGAAGTTACGTTAAGACCAGTGGCGACTGGTCATTAGGGGCAGGTGGGGCACAGCCCCACCTAGTGTCAGCAGAAAGTATTACAAATAATGATTACAAAAAATGCAAAAATAAATTAAAAAATATATAAAATATATTTTAAGATCATGTTTAATCATCTGATTCGTCTGTACATTGCTGTTTTAGTCTGTGTTCTTCTAATTAGTGTCTACAGTGTGTGCCTATTGAGCTTTATATATACAGTATATGCTATTGAGCTGTTTAGAGCCATGTGGGACAAAACCTGATCATGGCCCCTCCCTCTCACTGTGAGTGAACGGTGACTGTAAAAACTACACTGCGCATGCTCAGAGTATTTTCCTATTTAATGTGTGTGACAAAAAAATAATGACCATAGGGGCACTGAGCTGCCATCCCCACCATACGTCATCTCACATAATTCAGAGCTGATTGGCTGTAAGTACGTGTGCCGCGAAAAGTGTGGTGTGTGAAGAGGAGACGAGAAAGCTGCAGTGACGCGTCCTAAAACCCGGAAGTAAGCTGCGCATGGCTTGCCTCGCCAAAAAAGCAATGAGATTTCTCCATAGGATTTTAGAAAATAGCTCGAAATAAGATCTGTGGGAAACGTACCTGTTAGATAAATGCACGTTTTGATTAGCCGGATAACATCCACATGTCGACCCTACTTTTATAATTTTTGAATCATAAATCTATCGATTAGATTTATGATAGACTTTTGAAACTACAAGAAGATAAGGAGGACTTTTACAAAAAAGTAATAGAAATGTTTGTCCAGAAGGATAGGCAAATGGACTTCATCTTCAAGTCAAGGTAAGACCGCAATTTTATTGAAAATGGGATCTTACTAAGAGAGAACAATTCAATATTTAAATGATAAAATGACATTTTTTGGGTATCCTTTTGTTGAACTGTCTGTTTAAAATTAATCGAAGCATCAGACAAAAAAAGCTTTTGAAAATAATATTATATTTTGGTTTAGGTCAAAATATAATATTTGTAAACCTGAAGAGTCAGTGCCAGTGCCTCACCAGCCATGAACCTCACTGCACGTCACTGCAGAAGCTTATATATAGACATCTAAGTTTTTTGTGCCCCACCACTTTTGTACATATAAAAACGCCACTGGTTAAGACATGTATACAATTGCAATGAAAGCAACAAAAACAATGCCATCTCCTTTTCAGGTTCAAAGAACACAAATTAGGTTATTTACATAAACTATTCATATTGCAAATACATTTTTTAAAGGGAAGACGGACATGGATATGACCCATGTGATTTGCAATATCGCAAAAATATCGTATCGCAATATTTAGAATATTGTAGAATCGCAATACTATCGTATCGTGACTTAAGCATCGCGATAGTATCGTATCGTGGGGAGCCTGGTGATTCCCACCCCTACTAGAAATACATAAAGCTGCATTTATTATGTTTTGGCCACATGAGGAAGCTGTGGATTGCTTGATTGGAATCAGAAGTAAAGGTCTGTGTTTCGATGCCCAGCTCATACAATTAACATGTTGTTGTGTTGATGTGTTATCGAACCCCACAAGCAATTGGCTTAACCAAATGTGTGGGGATTTTGACAAATATGAAGAAGTTAAACTTTAAACATCCATGACTTAAACAC